TATTCAGAGGATACAGTACACGGACGATATACGGAAATGTCAAAGGGGAGGGCCAAATCACATTTATGATTACTATGATATCTACTCTACACTGATGGTGGCAGTCCTATGGCCCCTTCTTGTACTCGCTCCTCAGTCTCTTAGCATTCATGTGGTCCATGGATGCAAAGGAATTTCTTTTCTGGAGGAAAATCTCGAGCCGAAATATCAATAGTCCTGTACCTTATTGGTCGCGACGCTACTTCCATCAGTCAGTCCTCTTTTCTGACCGCGGTAGCCCCTCACTAGGTATCTTCTTCCCCTCTCCACTTCGGCCCCGGACGTCCAACATATACTCACACCGGGTTATGTGGCTGCAATGCGATCGCGTGGAGAATCATGTCTGGAATCTAGTCGAATTCCTCTCGTGTCATTCATGGAGTATACCCAGGCTAGGCTATCTATATGTACGCCCAAATGCAAAAGCTGACACTTGACGCCATTGATGCGGTCATCCAGGAAGAACTGCCCCTCACTGCTGTATACTTTGTTTTGTCTAGCTTTGCTTTTTGGCAGCAGGGTTGCACAAGTGTTGTCCTGGCACATGAATTAGCGATTGCACATAGCTAGTAACCTCTCCGACGCTAGCCTCACTCACCCATTATGCCGATTGCCCTTGCCAGTGTCTAGACTGTGAGGGTATGAATCTGTAGCTGAACACAATGGAGGGGTTGGGTTGGGGTCAATTTAGAGATGTCGTTTGACCCGATCAGGCACAAATATTCAACTGCCGGTCGATGATTCCTCTGGGGCCCTTTATATCTTACTTTCGATCTGAATTTCACAACGAATGTTTCAATCGTTTCTTGCTCATGAGTAGAATACTGTGTTGGTGCCATCGACATGTTTAATATTAGCATCCTCGGCCAACCATCCGAAGTCAACCTGCAGTCGTTCCATGACAACCACTTAGTAGTCCAACGCTATTGCAGCAAGGCAAATCCGTCACCCCTGCGTCTTGGAAACAACAACCAAGCTGCTTCCTGAAGCCTTGCTGATAGATTCCATACTCCCACATTGGCATCACAACTGAACACTACGCTCGAAGCCTTCTTATTGATATACAGGTTCACTATCCTCTAATTATCCAACCCAAGCTTCTGCCCTCTGCAGCTTCCCGCTGCTGCTTTAACAAGAAGTGTGTTTTCTCCAGACAGAACAAGATACTACACTTTCTTCTTCTGCAGGTATAAACAAAAACAGGATTCGAACAAATACGGTGCTTCCACTCCCCTTGTGCTGATATTTCATACTGTACATAAGGTTTCTACAGTTCTCTTCCATCATCAATGAATCACGAATCCAAGTAAACCAAACCAACAGCCAATGAGTTTTGAATCATAAATCGCTTAGCGCAAATCCGGAACCCCCTCCCCCTCCCCGGGCGAGTGGCTCGAAAAAAAAGTCGAAAAATTAGGGTTGGCTGCTACTGAGTTGCTGCTCCTGCTCCACGTTCCAGTTGCAACCATCCTTAAAATTTTCTTTTCCTTTCCGCTCTTTCTGACCGTTTCGGTGCGAGTTCGGAACACTTCGGGAATCCCGGCCTTCCCCTCTGCCAATTCTTTTGGCTGTTTCAGCATGCATTGGTTACTTCGGTGGCCGTGAAGTAATGCAGTGGGGAGGGTAATTGCTGCGTAAATGAACAACTTTCTCGGTATTATTATTCGGCCCGGGGAATGGGTTGCCCATTTGTGGGGGCTCACCACTGTGCTCACGTGCCTTGTTTCCCAATTGTGTTGTTGCCTGGGTTGTATCAAGTGAAGATTGACAGAAGCGTTCGTCAGTACTTTCTATTTATTGAAAGGTTATACATCCAGGGCGGATTACTATACCAAGCTATTTGATTGATCCTTTCTTTCCTGATTTACTACTATTACTCTCCAGTTTATGGTTCATTAATCGTCAAAATAATTATCTTATTCCTCCTTACCAATGACGCACACTGACCAGGACTTGCTCTCTGGAATCCAGCTCGACGGATGACTGCTGCCCTGTCACCAGTCCGAGACGCGTGAGAAGCTGCCACACCAACTTGCGCTTCAAGTTCTCGCGGACCGGGATCTTCTCCAGCGCGTCATATCCGTTGAAATACTTGATGAAACGAGGCCAGTATTTCTTCAAAGATGGGTGCAGTTCCACGAGGTCTAGGTCGGCGTCGGGCCCGTCGGAGTTGATGCCGTCTCGGCCAGTACCCGGTCCATCGCGCTCGGGGAAGCGCGACATGATCTCATCTAGCCATCTGGATTCGAGCGGCGAGGCGCGATGAGGGAATAAAAGCAAAGAAGACGTTCTTAGCGATGTTGTCCGGTCCAGCAACGAATAGGACAAGTCTAGCTTCTTTCCTGGTTTGTGCCGGCCAGGCATCGGGGTCTCTTCGCCGCTATCTTGACTGTCGAGGGACGATGACGAGGACGAGTTTGCATCATCATCATCGTCAATGTCCTCTGCGTCCGACTTGACGACGCTCTTGCTCAGATACTTGTCGACCTCTTCCCGGCGAATGGCTGCCTCGACCGCCATCTTGATCTCCGGAGACACTTTGACCCTTGCAAACGCGCGCAGCTGGGTAACCCAGCCACCTCGCAGCAACCACGCCAAGATGGCAAAGTATGTGACTTTGTGGTCTTTGCTGGGGATAAAGCTTCCGTACGGTCTGGGGGTTCCGCTCATGGCCGATAGCATCTTAGGAAGACTAGGCAGAGTCGGGAAAGCTGCTTGGTAGGCAGCTGTCGCCACTTCCAATTTGCTCAGATCACAATTTGGTGATACAACATAGGTGTCTCTCTGATGAAGCGGGGGGATCGCCCGCGCTCTTCGCCAGTAAACCAAATGGCTCGCAAGCATCTGGACGGTAGACAGTGGTATGCCGGAGGTCACGGCTATTTGGGCGAATGACTTTGTAGGTTTCGAGCAACGAATATAATGTGCAAGCGCAGGGGCCAAAGCACCCCCAGAAGCTTCGACATCCTTCAAGATGGTTGCTTCGTTGTCCAGCAGCAACAAAGCGAAGTGCTTGGCTAATACCTGATGCGGCGCAGTGTTTTCGTCAGCAGTAGGGTCATCAACCGGCGTGACACTGTCTGCGGTTGTGAGCCAGAGGCCAGGATATGCCTTGTCGGTCGGTCCTGCTAGGAACGGTGTCGATGTCAAAGGGGGGATTTGCAATGAGATGGAAACGTCCGGACTCAGGGTGACAGATGCAATCTTTGATGCTGATATGCTCGTGTATACGGTGTAGATGGCCCTGGCCAGGGATGACTGGTGAACAAGGTCTGAGTAGAGATTGTTGACGGACATTCCTGTACAAGACTAATTAGCGAAAACTGTCGACAGAGGACACAGTCACATACCCTTTTCCTTCGCCTTCTCCTTGATGTGCGAGATATGGCGAGCTTCCCTCCATACGTAGTCCGTCCGCGCTTGCTCCCACTTCAACGCCTTGGAGAACTTCTTAATGATATTATCGTAGATTTCCCGGAGGCGCATGGAATACTCCAATAAAGGCGGATCCAGCACAAAAACCACATTGAACATAGTCATGGAGTCCTTGTCATCGCCATCCAGCGACTCACTTGCCGCCCTGGTCGAGTGGATGCTGGTTATCGAGGCACGCTGAGATTCCGCGGGGGTCATCTGCTTCGGACTCAAAGTCTCTGTTGAAGCCGCCAGGAGGTCCGCGGCCGCCTCCCCTCGAGCATCGTCCTCGTCATCATCATCGGGCTTTTCATTATGACCAAGCTCCCCTCCCTCCCAAGTCGCACGAGGTTTCCTCTTCTTGCGCCTCTCTTTCCTCCACATGCCGTCCTCCCGCACGAACACCGGCCACCCGACGAAGGCAAGGTCGTTGATTCCGACCTCGAACCGCCGTTTATGCCACGACCGCGACGGACTCAATAGCTTCTCCCAGACATCGGCAGGGAGTCCCAGCAACGTCTCCCAGGGTGGACGTGCCCCATTACCACCTCGACCGGCTCCTCCACTACCACCACCACCTCCTCCTCCTCCTCCATTTCCCTCACCCTGAGTCCCTGTACTTCCACCTCCACTCCCTCCTTGTCCTCCACCAACACCACCACCGACCCCCAAGCCCACACTCCCCACCTCATCCTCCCCCTTCTCCCCAATCGATATCTCATCCTCGACATCCGAATTCGCCCCGCGTTGCTTGATACTCCCAGCACCACCACCGCGCAACAACCCCCTCCCCGACCCAATGGACCCCGCCCTCTGTGACTCCGCACCAGGCGACCCAGCAATCCCAGCCCGTGCTCCCCCTCCTCCACCATCATCACCACCACCGCCGAGCCCGAAACTACTAGGCCGACGACTATTCACCCCACTATTCCCGCCCCCACCAACCACATACGACGACGACTGGTTGAGCTGCTGCAGCAGGGGAATAATGATCTCCTCTTCATCCTCATCCGAGGAGGACCCGCTCTCCTCACTGGAACTGGACTCATTGGGATCTCGTTTGGAGGAAGACGTGGCTTTCGAGCGCGAGGCGCGGCGCGAGGAGATCGATGACGACGACGCCACCTTGGAGGAGGATGCCGAGCGAAAGCCGTTCTCGCTGAGCGGGTTGGGGGGGTAGTGGAAGACGAAGCGGGGACCGGCGCGCGAGCGGACGATGAGGATGATGGCGACCAGGCAGGGGTCCGGGGGTCGGGCGATGGAGGACATTATGGGGGGCGGAGGTCGTCTTTCTTTTCTTAGTGTTCGTGGGCTAGGTCTTCGCCGAAGATCTTTGTTTTATTGGTGGGTGAGGGTGAGCATTTCAAAAAATAGCTCGAAGAGACACAATGGCAAATGGAAGGGATGGAGAGTTTGCAGGCAAGTTGACGATAATGGGGGGAGGTTTAGGACTAAGAGTTCCGTTCGCCGCGGTGGTGCGGATAACTTTAGCTTTCCCCGCATGGAAAATTGGGGATTTCCGCATTCTTTTCTGATAAGACCTCACACTGAGATCGCAGGCCACAACAAACATACTCAGAATGAGTATGCCTCGGATTACTGGCTTGAGTGAAGGCTTTCAATCAGTACATATATACAGACCATATAATCCTACACATCCTGTACATACATAGAACGAAATATAGATAACCACCTTTCCCGGACGCCGAAAAATACGAAGAGTGAGAGAATCTATACCAATCTACCAGATCGTGAAAATCATCAACCAACCCAGCAGCCCCTCATGCCTTGCACAAAAGACCGCCAACCTCTCAGAAAATATCGTACAACCCTCGCAACCACCCCAAACTTATGACTTATTCTGCGTCCCCGCCGCAGCCCCCTCAGTAGCAGCAGCGGCGGCCTTGTCCTTCTCAAATGTCAACCCGAGGTTCTTGAAATCGTCCGGCGCCATGAGGTTGCTACCAAGCACAAAAGCACAACTCGCATTAGCAGACATACTTCCTCCGTGGAGTATTCTGTATACATGAATGAGGGGGAAAAAACATACTTTTCCATCCGACAAGCGAGATACCCCTTCGCCAACTGTCGACATGCGTCGTCGTTCACGCCGCGGTTCGATTTCAGGCATTTCAAGTAATCGGAGATCAGATGTTTGCAGTCGCCTGCAGCCCAGTATATGTCAGTCTCGTTCCTCCCGCTTTCTTGTGCATGTACCCATGTTCCGAGGAAGTGCGCAAGGCCTGCAGGCGCAGCCGAACCGGAGCCGTTGGAGAGGGAGGGAGAGAGGGTGGGTGGCCTACCATAGTGATCCAGGGGAAAGCTGCCACGCTCGGGACTATACACAACCATTTCAGAAGTTAGCGCTGAGCTCGTTCTCCTGCATCGCAAAATGGCACACCGCGCGCGCGGTTGTGAAAACCGGAGATAGAGGAAATCATCAGACCACACTTACGGCGTAGGCTTGTAGTTGGTCGCGGCACCACCGGGAGCTCCGAAGCCCATGGCGAAGGCTAAGTGGCACGGTTCTTGGAGTGGCTGGATGATAATCCGGTTTTGGAGAGTATGGAGCAAGCAAAGACCTTGTTAGATCGAGCAACGTCTTATCGGCTGTTTATCGGAGGGCATTCATAATGGTCCTGCCTCTGCCAGGCCGCGGAAGGAGAAAAAAGGCCCGGATCGGCGCCGCCAAACAAACATGACAAACATTTGTTCAGGCTGATCTACTCAATAAGTTATGCACCACGACATGTGTCAAAGTGATCTGAAGCTTGTCCGAGTTCTTAGTAAATGCTATCTAGTGCTTACAAAAGGACAGAGCTTGCTGCCATGAGTCATGAGGTTGGCTTCTGGCCTGACACATACGTGCGGGGTCAACCCTCGGCCGGGGCCATGTAACCTGTAGGTTTTGAGGAAGATAGGCGTCACAAAGGTTGATAATTGGTCGACTGAACCTGAAGCTCCAAAGTAGATATCTTAGATGACCAATCGAGTGTACTCGGACCCCTATTTATATGTAGTTTCTTTGTGAGCGTGTTGCTAGATGGTACAGGCACACCCCTCCTGACCCGCCTAGATACGGACAGCTGCGGCGCTGATATATCAATGACGTTGTCCTCCAGCCCCAGGATATTAATAATTGAACACGGCCTACTTCGAAGGGATTGACTTCATCTGCAGCTTTCGCTAATCCAAATCACAACTCCGTGGATAGTAATCCCAACACGCAAAAATGCCAATGTGAGTTCTTCTTTCCACCTTCGACAGTCAGGGGCCGCGACAATGAATATATCTCCGCATGTTACAGCAACAATGAACAACCCCCAAAACTCTCGATTCAAATACTAAAAAAAACCCAAACAATCAGGACACTAGAAGGCAGCTGCCAATGCGGCGGCATTGAATTCTCCCTGCAATCCTCAACCCCAGTTCCCTACCAGCTATGCGCCTGCAGCATCTGTCGCAAGGTAGGCGGGTACAGCGGCAGCGTCAATCTCGGCGGAATCGCCGACTCCTTGAACATCAAAAAGGGCAAGGATTTGATCAAGTATGTCGAAATGCCCCAAAGCTGTTGTATTACACAATTACATCGGGACTCCGACTGACCACGAGGGTTGGCACGCAAAGGAAATATTGCGCGATCAAGGCCCGCGGTACCGATCAGGAAGAGGTTTGTTCGTCGGAGCGGAACTTCTGCTCCAATTGTAGTACCATGCTGTGGCTGTGGGACAAGCAATGGCCGGAGTTGATTCATCCATTCGCGTCGGCGATCGACACCGAGTTGCCGGTGCCTGATGAGATGGTTTGCATTATGGCCGGGTCGAAGCCGACGTGGGCGCGTTGGCCTGAGGGGAAGAAGCAGGTGTACGAGGAATATCCAAGTGACAGTTTGGAAGGGTGGCATAAGAAGCATAATCTCTTCTTCGAATAGGGGAGAGAAGAGTGGCTACGATTGTACTGAGCAAATCACGGTACGCAATTACAGGAAGAGCATTCAAGTTTGATAGTATCTTTTCTTTTATTCATTATGAGTATCTGTGCTGAGAGCGGGCAAAAGTCACCTATGATGAGATATTAGCAGCCATTACAGCAAATCATCTCGTACACAATCAGGTGGAAGGCGTAAGATCAGTTCTCCAAGGTGAATCTTTGTTGTTTCGACATTGTAGTTCAGTAAGAACACAGCGAATTTTAAGAATCATCATGCAAGGGCAAGGTGTTGTTGAGGGTAAATACTCACAAATTCCCCGTCGATGTATTACAAGGGTATCAGTTTCCCTAAGATCTTTGACCACAGAATCAGCAACACATTCATGACAACACATGAGTGAGTTCAATAGATAATGATGTCAACTGAAGTCAGGCTAGTAATAAGTTAGTGAGAGCCCACAAAACCACAGGATTTTCGTGTACCAACCTCATTAAATCAGAATTTTGTGTTTAATGTTCATTTCCATGTACAGAGTACATAGATCAAACAGTGTGAATAAGTGTTCATCATATAAAGTTGACTTGGGCAATGCTTGTGTTTGAGACAGGAAGCGAATGGAAAATACCTGTCGGCTTCTGTTAGTATGTCTCGAAGCCAAAGACAGTTCCAACAACTGAAGATGATCGATGAAAGCTCAGGTGACGAAGATCTCAACAAGTTATACACTTTCCTGACACCCGCAAGGTTTGTACGCCTCGCTTTTGATGGGTGCAGGTCCATGTACACGTTATGTCCGCCCGTTCGTTCAAGATTTCTTCATCGGCAGCCAGATAGGCAGAGGAGTTGAATGAGTGGTATTTACCTATCAGATAGCAAGTTAGTGAAGAGTCACAAATGACAAGCTAATTGAGAAGACAGCAAAATAGATTGAAGTAGGTCAGACAAGGCTGAAACTTGAGTTAAAACACGAATTCCACATGGTGATTAAGTTTGAGGAATGCCTTAAAGCGTGTCATAGGGTCATCATCCAAGAGGGGGGAAATACTGAAAACTAAACAAAAAGTCTTCGCATACCTTTTACAATTGTGCCATTGAGTGTCGAGAATGTCAAGTCATCATTAAACAAGATATCCTCACAAGTTCGCGGTGTTGGGCGACTCTTGTGCTGGTTGTGGTTGCATGATCATTGGGAAGAAAAAAATTGTTGTGGGTTGCGTCAAAAATTTATAAAGAGCATGAGGTACGGGAAGTGAGAGTCGCCACTTATGCTGTTTGATTGCGGGACAAACAGCTAGTGCTTCGGCAGTCTAGCCGATTTCGCTAAGCTACTCATACTCAGTACATAGAGCTTGAACAGCTCTCGGTCTCGCTTGGTCATTGGCTGTCCTTCGCGTTGAGATTGAAGGCGGAATTAGCATCCGAAATCCAACCGTGATGCACTGACTGAACTCATAGCCATGTTATCCTCTCATGATGAGCTGTGGAACATCGCTCTTCATTCCATAGGTTTCTTCGTGCAAACCACCTGAAGGATGATTATATGTGGGTCTATCCTTCGAACCCCTCTATGAGGGACTGATAATGCCAAAGTGATCGCAGAAGGAGTGGCTTCAACAAAGACTGAATGAGCGACTTCATTGCTGGACCTGAGACATTATAAACAACGTCCCTGGTCTTTCGCAAATCCGTGGACCCGTCGCTGGGTCCAACGGTGTGGAACCTGCGGCCAGTAGCCTGTCCGACGTCATGGTTATCCACACTACGAGGCAAGACAAGCACCTTGTGTGATTAGGACGCTGCGTCAAATTGACGTCGGCCTCTATCCACGCTGGTATAAAGACCGTTTGTTGGCCTTGCTAGAATCGGATCAGACAAACCACTTTTTTTGCACTAAGATCCTCAATTAATATTTTGCATATTCACTCACAACTCATTAAACCCACAACTTGATACACAATGGCCACCACATTCAAGCTTAACACCGGCGCAGAGATCCCTGCTGTTGGATTCGGTACCTGGCAGGACGCCGATGCTCAGGAGAATGCCGTTCTCGAAGCCATCAAGGCCGGCTACCGTCACATCGATACCGCCCGAGTGTACGCTCCCCAGACGATACCTCACCTATTCTTTTTTTGGCGACACCCATGCTGATTCCTTTGGAATAGATACGGCACCGAGAAGGCCGTGGGCCAAGCCATCAAGAAGAGCGGCGTCCCCCGCGAAGAGCTCTTCGTAACCACCAAGCTCTGGAACAACAAGCACCACCCCGACGATGTCCCCCAGGCGCTTCAGGACTCGCTCAACGACCTGCAGCTCGACTACATTGACCTCTTCTTGATCCACTGGCCCGTTGCGTGGAAGCGTGGCGACGAGCTGTTCCCCAAGGAGAACGACAAGGCCGTTGTGGAGGACATTGACTACGTCGACGTAAGACCATTCAGCCCGCCCCCCCCCTTCCTCGGAAAGACACTTAAACGGACATCGAGGATACTGACCCACCATTCTAGACATACAGGGCTATGGAGAAGCTCCTCTCCTCCGGCAAGGTCAAGGCCATTGGAGTGTCCAACTTCTCCAAGGCCGAGATGGAGCGCCTGCTCAAGGAAACCTCCGTCGTGCCCGCCGCCCACCAGCTCGAAAGCCATCCCTGGTTGCAGCAGCCCGACTTCGCCGAATGGCACAAGTCCAAGGGCATCCACGTCACCCACTACTCGCCCTTCGGTAACCAGAACGAGGTCTACTCCAAGGAGGGTACCATCGGCAAGATGATCGAGGACCCCGTCCTGGTCGACATTGGCAAGAAGTACAACAAGAGTGGCGCCCAGGTCGCACTGGGTATGTTAATCATATCCCTCTCTCCCATCATCCCCCCACCCCAACAAAAAAGACACGCCCACTAACCCATTATCTTTTCGTGAATATAGCCTGGGGTATCACACAGGGTCACTCCGTCCTCCCCAAGTCCAAGACCCCATCCCGAATCCAGGCCAACCTGGAGGGAGACTTCAAGCTGAGCGACGAAGACATGCAGAAGATCCGCGGCATCGACCGCAAGCTTCGCTTCAACGACAGCAGCGCCGACTTCGGTAAAGATTTCTTCACCGACTTGGATGGCAAGAAATAAAATCTCCTTTTCCCCCAACCGTCCTCGTCTTTTTTTTCTCCGAAATTTTCACAAGCGTTCCAATTCAACCGCATGTGACAACATCACACCCCCTGGCCAAAAAGAAAAGGTGGGGGGAGGGCGCATGCTATGTATTATAATGTTATGGATATGAGTCAATGAAATGATATGTCAAAAGAAAAAATAGATAAATCCGAGATGATAAATGAACACGAGTTTTGTCTTTGTTTTCCCTCATCCCTGACGTCGATCATGCCCCTCTTTTTTCGCTCGAGATCTGCATGATAAGAGTTAGTTACAGTGCAGATCATAAGATGAGAAGGAAGGGCAGAAGGCGCACGCACGGCAGTAGTGGGCACCGGCAATCGGCTGGAAAGGTCGTACCGTACCTTAAGTGGCTGGCACGGTCACCTGGCCAATACCTACCTACCTACTGAGGTCCAGGCCCTGCCCGTAGTTTTAACCTACAGATTGGTTGCTGCAGTTCCAGCTCAACACACCCTCGCATACGAAGACAAAAAGAAATTAGGAGGTGAAAAGAATCTGCCCAGCTCTTCTCTTGCTCAGACTTTCTTTTCTCCTAGAATTAAGCTCGAAGTCTCCTGACTAGTGAGTTACAACCTCAAGTTTTCTACTTCGTACTGTACATTCTCGAGTACTTCTTATCCCGTCAACTTTGGTGAATGACATCATCGCCCATCGGCCATGGCGCGCAGCTCCAACCAGAACGAACAACAACCATCCTCAGCGGCGACTACAGGAGCAAACGAACTCGGAGCAGCGCATGTGCGCTTGCCCAAGCGACTGGTCGTCTCGTATATCCTTGACTGGATACTTATCATGTGCGTTTTTGCGAGTTAGACCCCCAGAAAGCTCGTATAGATCGTGTTGCGTCGGTGTGTGTGTACAGTACTCATGGTGTTTCCCCTGCAGTGGTATCGCACTTATTGGCTATGGATTCGGTCGCGTCTCTCCCAATCAGAGGCCATTTTCCCTCACGGATCCAAGCATCTCCTTCCCCCACAGAGACCATGACACCGTATCGGTCAGTGTGGTGGCGGTGGTCGCCTTAATCGTCCCGGCCGTGATCATCGTCCTCGGGGCGCTGGTGCTCATCCCCTTCGGCTCTGCGATGACAGGCCACGAGACGACGATAGTAACACGCGCAAAATTGTGGCGGTACAAGCTATGGGAGTGGAATGCCGGATGGCTGGGCCTGGGTATATCGCTTGCGGGGGCCTATATGGCGACCGAGGGGCTGAAGGATCTTTTTGGGAAACCACGACCGGATATGCTCGCGCGATGCGATCCGGATCTCTCGAAGATCGGCACCTTCGCTGTCAGCGGCCTGGGATCCAGACTCGATGGAGCCCCTACACTGGTCACGTGGGAGATCTGTCGAAATCAAGCGCGCGAGTTGGCTGTTGATGGCTTTTCGAGTTTCCCCAGTGGGCATTCTTCTTGTAGGTGATCCGTTCCCAGGGAAACCCAATGATTGTGCGGGGAAGAGACAGTGCTGATATATAACCAACAGTCGCATTTGGCGGATTGACGTATCTCACTCTATGGCTTTGTGCTAAACTGTCCATCGGATTTCCTTACCTCGCTCATTCACCGCTTAGCCAGGATTTGCAGAGACAGGAGCGTAGCACCATTCGAAAGCAGGGAGCAGCCCCGCCGGTTTACCTGCTCATCATAGTCTTCGTGCCCATAGCGGTGGCGTTCTTCATAGCTGCCTCGCGGTGGTTTGACTACCGCCACCATGGATTCGATATCATTTTTGGATCAGTCATGGGGATCGTCTTCGCCTGGATCGGTTTTCGCCTTTACCAGCTTCCCGTGATGCGCGGTGCAGGCTGGTCTTGGGGGGCAAGGGGCAGTAGCCATGCTTTCTTCCGAAGCGTGGGACTGCCGAGCCATGTCTGCGCAGATAACTGGGCAACCGCAAAATATGCACCGCCAGTGAGAGCAGAGACCAGCAGGGATCAAGATATTGACCTCGAGAGTGGCCGTAAAGCAGCAAGGGAGTAGGATCCCTACATCTTGACCAGATAGCAATGTGTATCAGGCCAGTGGAAGATGTGACAATGCAGGAGTCATTTGGGAGGTTGCTGTAGGCCGTGGTGTTGTCTTCTGGCGCCCTCATCCTTTTTCCCGTACGCTTAGCAATGTCTAGGAAACGCATCCCGTCCCGAGGTCATCAGGGGCCCAATAATAACCCAGCGTATTGAATCCTCGATTCCAGCGGACTGCTTCCATCACCTCCATCCTCCTACCCGCCCCTCATCCCACCTAGCTTTCGCCTCCCTCCTCGCGGCCAATTTGGCCGACTCTGCCCTGACCCGTCGAACCCAATCCGCGACCTCCTTTTCCGACGCCCGGCCATGGTGTTCCTCCTCCAGGAAACTTTCCTCAACCGCTCGACACACAGCCTCCTGCTCCGAGATCGAAGCAGCCAGCCTCTGGTACAGCGCCTTGGGCGACCACGGGGCCAGGGCAGCATCCATCTCGGATTGTTTCTTCCGCCAAGAGACCTCGAGCGACTGGTGGGTCAGGAGAAGGGTCTCCGTCGAGGACCGTAGCTCCGACATCTGCGACTGGAGCTCGAGAAGACGAGTTGCCAAGTCTTTATTGTACTTCAGGAGAGATTCCAGATGCTGCTGATGGGCCGTGTAGGATGGATGCTGGCTCGACAGCGCGGAGATGAGGTTCGGGTCTTTGAGAATGGTTTGCAAATCCACAGTACTGTGGAGAAGATCAAAGTCAGTGGGATGTTCTTGAAACAGCTGTAAGATTGATACAGAGTAGGATATACCTCTTGTCCTTGACACTACTCGGTAGCCAACCTTCCTCAACAGGAGGTGGTTGGGGCAGCACGTTCTGGGAGCTCGGAGGAACCCCTGGTGAGAAATATCTGTTTCCTGAATACATGTCCAGTCTTTGCTGTTGATTATAGGCTCTGTGTAGCTGCTGCGGGGTGCCGGGCAAAGGTGAGTTGAGATGGGGTGTGCCTCTTCGACTGGCCTCGTGGCTGCTGGGCTTCGGAGGTGGGGGAGGAGGCGTGTCGGAGTTAAGTGCCGGGTTCATGGTGACAAGGGGCTTTCGATGTAAAGCGGGTACTAGATAGAAGAAATGGTACTTTGGCCAGAGAGCCAGGGTTGAACGAGGGATGCACCTGAACGCGCAAAGGCAGGTAATTGGATGGTTGGAGTAACAGGAGAAGCAGCTCGGGTGCGGGCGATGCGGGGAAAAGACACCGAATCACGTGAGATGACATATCTCCGGTTTACATGCTACTGGAGATTCAACCATCGTTGCTTTTTTACAAAAGAGCCTTTGTTGATCACTTGCCGGTGTGGAAAAAGTCTTCGGAGATTGCATTTAGAGAACTCGCATTGATTTTTGCTAGTTGGGACACATCATTTTTCAATGTGCGTGTAGTATATAGTCTTCGTAGCTGCCAGAACTCAACAAAATATGGTTGCCCGATATAAGCGCAACTCATCAAAGCCTGAGCCGAGCCTTGTGGCTGACGCAAATTGGCTGTCCTTATCAAAACTTGGAGTTGGTATACGTCCTAGCTGAAACGCTCGAGATAGCGCTGCGCTATTACCCTTTGGAGTGGCGAGAATGGTTGAGACTCAATCGTGGTTCGAGATCGCTAGACGCCTCGCAGGCTGGCCAGATAGACCGACGCGCCCATAATGACTCAGATGAGCGAAGCGGAAGCTGTTTGGCAAGCCAAAATGGTCCTTGAAGTGGAAACCCGCAACTTTCTCAATCCGTTCTCCGACGCACACCACGCTCGTCAGTCTCAATACTAGAGCCTCGGAGTGCATCCATAACCAGCTCCCGCAACTGGGCCTGCGTAGCTTCACTGTGGAAATCTTCCCGCGCGGCCAGCTCATCGATCCGACGTTTGAACTCGGGGTCCACCTGGTCGATTCCCGCGTTCGCCTCTTGCTCCGACACCGTGCCCAGGTTCAGCTGCAGGTTCGCAGGCAGAGGGGGAGGTTGATTCAAGGCGGCATCCGCCGAAGAATCTGCAGGGGCGGGGGCTGGGACGCCCGCTACTTGCCGCAGATAAGCTGCAACTTCGGGGAACGAGTCATCGTTCTCTATAGTTTCATACGCAGCCATGCCCTCATCGTTCCGCTTGTTGTAGTCGACCCCGAGTTCTTCCACAAGGCACTTTGCGATTTCAACGCTCTCCGTCACGAAGAGACAGGTCTCGCCATCTTCGTCCAGAAGGTTGACGTCCACGTTGAACTCTTTCACCAAGGCGCGCAGAAGATCGATGTGACCGTAGGAAGCGGCAGCATGGAGTAGTGAGTAACCGTGCTCATCTTGACCGGAAGCGATGGACGGATTCGAGCGCAATAGCGTGAGAAGAGCGGAGGGATTTTCGGCGGCCAGAATGTAGGGGTTGGGTTGACTCATCGTGGCGGCTAGACAATTATCGATTGAGTTAGTCAGGCCAGATTTGGGTCAATCAGTGAAATTAGACAGACCTTGAGTCACACACAGACGTGCTAGTTGAATAGAGTGAGGCAGAGAGACTTGTAAATGGGGGTGGGGAGATTTTGAATCAGTTAGGCGGACGTGAAGGAGGGGTCGGTCGGAGGTGGCGGCGAGCGGAAAAAAAGGGCATGCTCAAAGTCCGGACAATTGATGTCTTCAGCAACCCTACACAGGTTCGGATACTAGGTTCCCTTACGTCCTACTGTCGGAATTGGGCTGAGTGTTGCACCCATCAGTTTCAGGAAAAGAATATCGGATTGTCCCAGGCACCTGGATCTTAGAAAATGGCCATGTGGGTTGCGTCGCTCACTCTTGAAGCGAGGCATAACTTCACTTAAGCACTCGGATATAACTATTTGTTATGGCAACTATAATCATCGAGTGCATCGCGCGGTTGTAAGTGCTCAGTCTGACGTTTTGGCCGCAACATATCGCCCAAACTTCCTTGTAAGGACAATACAGAGAGTTATATCAATAACAGCTGATAATATTCAGAAGGGTATGACCAGAACAATCAGTTTACCTGACGATTCCCAAGGCAATCAACATGATGTTCGACTCCGTATAGACCAAGCTATACAGACACAAGGCCAAGCTTTACAGACTCTTTCAAAACGAAATCCTACTCTGCTGGACATGAATGTGTATATAGTTACTGATAAATACAATATTGCTTCTCTCACAAAGTGTACGAAAGATAGATTCAAAGCTTGGGCAACAAAATCGCAACTTACGGAATCATAGGCTCGCGCCGTGGAAGAAATCTGGCAAGGCAACAAATATTCTAACATTCATATTTTGATCAAGAATCAAGTAGCGTGCGACATTGATCGGACACTTAGAGACTGTTGGCCACCAGCCATCGACAAGGGAATTAAGCTTGGGAGGTTTTCTGCAGCTTTCCTTTAACAGATCATCAAGAGAAAGGATTTTTTTTCACACTGCGCAATACAAATGTAAGATACGAGCTTGAAGTAGAATAATTTATGAGCAAAGGTCGATAGTCACAAAGCTGCTATTAATCGGCCAGCGAAAGAAACCACAGCCGATGCGGGCTACAGCTCAGATAGAAGTGTTAGATTCTGACTTCTCTGAGTAACTATAGATAATTATACAAAGCTCGGATGATATACTACACCTGATGTTCAGATAGCCCTAACATCATCAGCAAGACATTGTGGCTGCAAATCGGAAACCGGAACTGCCTAATTCAGTTTTCATCTGAGCTGGCATCTAGCAGTTTATTCTAAATACTGTTGCTGAAAGGAGATGCATCAATTACAGTACTGCAGCAGTAGTTGACTAAAGATTTGGAAATTTTCAGTATAGAAGTTTGATGGCATGCAGGACCTTGGAGGAATTTTTTGCTTACAGAATCTTACTTGTGTACTAAGCTGTAACAATCAAAGAGTTATCAGTGATGACTTTGAATAGCTACATATATAGCTAGCTACAAGAGCGGGTCAGGAGACCCCGTGCATGAAAAGAAATATGAGCCTAGTGTAGAGACCAAAAATTGTTCTCAGCCGCTAGCATGCCAAGGTACCACAGTCCTAGCAATACCGAAAGCCTCCCAACACCTCCACTTGACCATAGGATGCATGTAGCGACGGCTAAACGACCACCGTCATCCAGTCGTTTCACTGCGACAAGCTCGGCGTCCGAGAGGATAAACCCGTGCCTGGCATTGTGCTGTTCCATATAGAAACTCACCTGAGCCAAAACTGCCTATATTCTCGCTGATCCAGCCGGTCTTGTGAGAAGAGCATTGAAGATCTTCACTTCCAGGAGGCCTTCAAGTCCCCAGGCGCTCGATTGAAGCCTGCGGTGAGACTTGCACCAACGACAATGAACGCTGCGTCCGGCCTGGACTGATCGATGATACGTGCAGATTCCCCTCCGTCAATTGTTATGACAGAAAGCTGCCGTATTCGGAGCTCCGGCGCGAGTTGTTCGAAACCAGCTCGAAGGCCGGATCTCAACCGGTTTTTAACCAGATCCGAGAAACGAAGATGAAATGTGGCTTCATCCCTCGAAGGTAGGGGATGAGGTAAATGGGTCAGGACGAATCTGCGTCGAATTCAATAGTTCTCCGTACCATTGCATGATGACTGGGTAGCTGAATTCCGGCCATGGGATGATTTGAGTATCGTCTGCATCATACTTGGGATTTGTGGTGTTAGGACCAGGACTGGTCTCTTGCTTATGTATAGTCGAAAGAGCAATGGAGAGAGAATGCAGAAGTGGAGTGATTGAGTATTATCCATTTTCAGTTACTCTAATGCCATGGAAACGCAAAGCCGTCGAACTGTCGAAATACTCCGCAAGGGTGGGTCATACCATGGTTGAGGTTCCGGAATGCGGGGCGCTTGAAGTGCTAAAATCAGTATACATAGTATGATTAGTATCAACATGACTCTAGAAGTTTATGTACTGTGGCGCCAAAGAGGCGCGCTCTTGGTGCCGGCTCTCCTGCCCAAATCGAACTCAGTTCACCCACGACCCCTGAG